AAATCTTAAAAGAAAAAGTAATATGACATTTTCAGATACTATAGTAAATTTATTGAATTATATTTGCATAATGCTTACATTTTGTCAGGTGGAAAACAGAAAAGACCAGTAGGCAAACCCTGTGATACACTGTCTTCTCTACGAGTTACGCATTTTCCCAGCAGCTCTGAAGATTACATAACATTGTGTTGAGGTGACTCTAGCCAGTTTGAAGTAGTTTGAATAATTATCCTGAGATCTTTTTCTGTTAAAGAACATAGCACACATTAAAGTTCCCTTGTCCATAAAAACATTGTGAAATACAAATCTGTAAACCTTAGAAGAAGTAGACACATGGGGCGCCTGGGTGTCTCAGTCCATTTAGTGTCTGCTTTCAGCTCAGGTCATGATCCCAGAACCTTGGGATTGAGCCCCAAGTTGGGATTCCTGCTCAGCAGGAAGCCTGCTTCTTCTCCCCCTCACACCCCACTCATCTGCTCTCTCTCTCAAGTACATCAGTAAAATCTTTAAGGAAAACCAAAGAAGTAGTAGACACAGGGCTCACTGTTCAGGAATGGCTGTAATGCGTATCTGCATTAGTGAGGAAACTGCTGTTAACTGCGGGCTGGAGAATCAGTCTCTGCCAAAACAGGAAAGCTGCCAGATATGGTGGCCGCTACCACCACCATTACTTGGGCCTCACATGTGGGTGTTGGGCTAAACACTAGAGATTCCTGCTTTTGCCTGAAAACCAACAAGCACTACCACATGCTTGGGGAAGGCTTGGGGAAGAGCCATATGGCCACTGCTTCATGATGTGCATTGTCTCCCTCAAAGTCCTTTGAAGGTACCTCAGCTTGGTGACCGCTGTGTTGAAAGTAGAAGCTCTAGCTGCAAGATCTCATTTAGCCCTTTAGCCTCAGGTGTGCAGGAACCATGCTAGAAACAATGTGGAGTTCTATAGCATTTGCCATGTCTAGCCTCGGGTAGATGTTAGTCTAAGTTCTTGCCTTTATACTTGAAATTGAGTATATGCATTTCTGGGGAAGAGCAATAACCCAAAACACATTGTGTTTAGTTTAGAATGCTGGAAGCTAAAAGTTATTATTCCCTGGAAATATGTCTCCCCAAGCTGCAACTTTATTTAGTATCTGTCCTAGAAATTTCATTGTTGTGAGAACAAAAATAGTCATGAATTTTAGCTTATATTATTTCCAGAAATAGTTCAGAAATAATTTAGTTAAATACTATAACTCTCAAATGGTTCCAAGTTCTTATTCCTATCCAAGACCAGAATTTTTCTTTCTTTTCCAATAATGCAAGATTTTTTTTTAAAGATTTTATTCATTTATTTGACAGAGAGATAACGAGAGCAGGAACACAAGCAACGGGAGTGGGAGAGGGAAAGCAGGCTTCCTGCGGAGAAAGGAGCCTGATGCGGGGCTGGATCCCAAGACCCTGGGATCAGGACCTGAGCCAAAGGCAGATGCCTAACAACTGAGGCACAACCCACGTGCCCCCAAGATTATTTTCTTGGGCAAATAAGTAAGCAGTAATAAGAGCATTGAGGTACAGATAGATTGTAAAAGCATTACTTTAATTAAATCATTTCAGGAAAAGGAACCTCTTATCCCCAAAACAACAGATAAGAACAATGAGTAAAAAAAAATGATGGAATGTATAATTGAAGTTAAAACTATCCCCTGAATCCAAAAAAATTATCCCCTGTCTCACTCAGCTGTTGCTGAGTTATCAAAAGCCACAAAATCTCAGTGACATGCAACAATAAGGATTTATTTCTCACATACCTAAGGGCTAGGTGGAGTAGTTCTGATAACGATGGCCGGGTGGCTCTAAGTCATACGTTGGGTGCAGGTCTTTTTCACAAGGTTTTCATCCTCGATGAACCAGACAGCTAGCCAGGTGATATACTTTTAAAGCACAAATAGCAAAGGCATGAGAGAATAAGCAGAAACAACAATTACTCTTAAGGCCTAAGCTTGGAATTGGCACACTCTCATTTCAGCATCCATTTTATTGACCAAAGAAATTGCATGTTCAAGTCCAAAGACCAGGGCTTGGAAAGTATAACTGCCTTTTGTGGAAGGAACTGTCAAGTTACAATGCAAAGAACACTGACACAGGAAATGGATGATGAGGAATTGGGACCTGAGTCAAAGTCTGAATTATCAAAATATTTGGAGGGAGTTCTGAGGTACTCCCAAATGCCTGTTTTGTTTTGTTTTTTTCATTTGTGACTAATAAATCATCATTAAACCTGGACTTTGTTTATATATTAGGATAATATTGAATTAATCTCTGTAATTGAGATATGTAAATGAAATAGATTTCCTGGCTGAGAAGCTAAGAGAGATGAGGATAAGAGCACCGGGTAGCCCCTCCCTGCAATTTGGTGAGAATTGTAAAGATTTCAGTATTGTCGTACATTTCTTTATATTATTAAAAGGGAATTTTTAAAAAAGTCATGTCTTGGGGCGCCTGGGTGGCTCAGTGGGTTAAGCCTCTGCCTTCGGCTCAGGTCACGATCTCAGGGTCCTTGGATCGAGTCCCGCATCGGGCTCTCTGCTCAGCAGGGAGCTTGCTTCCTCCTCTCTCTGCCTGCCTCTCTGCCTGCCTATGATCTCTCTGTCAAATAAATAAAATAAATAAATAAATAAATAAAAAATCACATCTCATAAATACAAAAGAAAAACTGAGAATATTTAGTGTTTACTCATGAAATCAGTCTAGGTTTGCATAACCTATTGGTTGTTGGACCTACGACTAATTCTGAAAAGCCTATGATAATAGGTTTTACTGAACAATTTGATGCTTCCTAATAAAAGTGGAAACTGAATTTACTTGATGCTTTTGACTTTTTCTTAATGAACAAGATGAATGAATGTGACCTAACTGTACTCAATTTAATATTACTGGAGACTAGAATGTTCTCTCAAGTGAATATGAAACAGTAAGCTTCAAATTTTGTTCTGAATGAAGTAAGTTTTTTTATTGATATATAATTGACGTATCATTTTGTGTCAGTTTCAGGTATATAACATAATGATTAAAATTACTGTGAAGAAGAAAAAGAGTCATAATTCCAACAGCTATAACTTTGGTACATTTCTTATAGTTATCATCATTAGTCATTTCTTAGTTCTAAGAGGTTATTTATCTAACAGTTTCTTCTGAGACACTGAAAAATAATCTTAACACTAACTAGAAAAGATACCTGTATGCCCATGTTCACTGCAGTGTTATTTACAGTAGCCAAGACAGGAAGCAACCCAAGTGTCCATTAATAGATGAATGAATAGATTAGAAAAAAAATGACATACACACAAAATAAAATATTATCTTTGCAATAATTTTAATTATGACTGCAACTAACATTGAACTCTTGTTAAAAACTGGTACACGCGCACGCACACACACACAAACACACACAGAAAGTAAAACCTGGCATAATCCTAAGTACTTTTTTTTTTTTAAGATTCTAAAAATTTATTTCTTGTAGGGAGGGAGAATGCGCAGGGGGAGGGGCAAAGGTTGAGGGAGAAGAAGTGGGAAAGAATCCCAAGCAGACTCCACGTGTATTTTAAAAACAGAAATAAGGGCATCTGAGGGGCTCAGTTGGGTAAGCATCCAGCTCTTCATTTCGGCTCAGGTTATGATCCTCAGGGTGTGGGATCCGCATGGGGACCCCTCAGTGGGGAGTCTGCTTCTCTTTCTGCCTCTTCCCTCTGCCCCTCCCTCTGCTCACACACACTCTCTCTCTCTAAAATAAATAAATCTTTAAAAACAGAAATAAAATGGTCATAACCTTTCAAAACAAGAAATTTGTACCATCTTCAGGGGTAACAATTTATAAGCAATCGGACATATACCATTTAAGAACAAATGTACCAAAACAAACATACCATTTGTAAAGCTTTTTCTCCAGGACTATACTGTGCTACATGTATTATTGGAAAGACTGAGTTTCAGCATCTGCCCTGGGCAAGTCCCTTAACATCTCAGAGCCTCCGTCTCCTCATGTAAAATGACTCTAATTACTTGCCCTACTCCTTCCTTTTTTTTTCCTTCAAGATTTATTTATTTGAGAGAGAGAGAGTGAGAGTGCACATGCCTGCAAGCATGGCGGAGGCAGGGCTGGGGTGGGGGCGGCGGCAAAGGGAAAGAATCCCAAGCAGACTCCCCACTGAGCGCGGAGCCCAGAAGGGGCTCCATCTCACGACCCTGAGATCATGACCTGAGCCAAAGTCAAGAGTCTGACTCTCAACTGACCAAGCCACCCAGGCACCCTGTAGTTGCCCTGCTTCTTAAAATTGTTGAGGGGATCATATGAAATACATGACAACAACTTGTAAGTCTTAAAGCTCCATGTAACATTAGGCGGGGCTTTATTATTTTAAGTCAAAATCCTAAAAATTTGCAGCTAGAAAATTATAACCAGATGTTTCCTAGATATAATACATGACACATTTGTAAATAAAACATTAAGATAAAAATATGCAAAGCTAATTCTTATTCAGAAAAATCAAACTATGGTATAAATACGGCATCAAGTTCTATTTTTACTCAATGGTACACAATTTGGAAGTACTGTGGCCGAAGCCAGCTCTGCATTCTAGGAGACTGTTATTTAACACAAGTAATGTTTAGTAAATGATATTTAAATGACATTGCACATTGCCATTTGTTAGTGCTGGTTTTTCACGAATGTCTGTAGAATGAAGATTTTTAATATTAAATAATAGTCCAGAAAGGGAAACACTTAAGTTTTTTCACTGTTACATCCCCATTGCCTAAAACATTTTCTGAGACACAGTATCTGTTGAAAACTGAATGAAAGAATACTCTGATAATTGGAAAAGAGAGTGTAAGAACAGCTATAACACATGGTACATGAAGATGTTAATAAGTCCAAATACCAGTAATATGTATAATATTCTGACATTTCTTTGGCTCACATATGTTTGGCAGATTTAACATTTCTTTTTATTTGCTTTACTTAGGGAAGAGCTGCCCTAACACAAGAGAAGGAGGAATTTGCCCATGAACATGAAGAAATGAAGAACCTGGAAGCCATTGTTCAAGAAATAAAACCAACTGCCCTCATAGGTAAACTTCTCCCTCTTTGCAGTAAAGCCCACCCTGACCCCATTTTGGCCTGATTCATTTTCCTACTGATTTTTAAGGTATAATTTAACTTCTTTGAGATTTTGACATTTGGAATTCACCAACACAATTACACATTCACTGAATCATTAGTACCCCAGGGACACCTAGATTTGTAAATTTAGTATGTACCGCCTTCTCAGTCTTACCAATTCCAGCCCAAGTGGGGGCCCCCTCTGCTAACTCGGTCAACCTCTCGATCCTTGGCATAATCAGCTCTTCACCAGGCTTGATTACTCCAGATAGACAGTGGTTCTCAAATGGGAGTGATTTTTGTGCCCAAAGAAACATTTGGCATTGTCTGGAGATGTTTTTGGTTGTCACAACTTTGGAGGGGTTGAAGGTAAGGTGGTGAGGGCTACTGACATCTAGCGGATAGAGACTAGGGGGTGCTGCTCAATATCCTACAATACACAGGAAAGCCCTGCCCCCCCAACAAAGAATTATCCAACTGGACCCTCCTTGAAGACAGGAACTGTATTTATATTCCTCATAGCACTTAACACAGGAGCTTACATAGTGCATGTGCACATAAGATCTTTAATATAGTCAAATTTAATGTGGCTAAAAAACTCAGCCATAGTTATAAAACTTTATGCCTTATTTTGTGTATATATAAAGTTAGTCTTTACTTTGTATCATACTTCATTCCTAGAAGCTCTTGTGAAACAGGTCACAGTATCGAGAATAATGATATTGATCATAATAAAAGCAAATACTCTATAACAGAAACTGTAATAAGCCTTTATTGCTATTTTTTATAAAATACTATATTTGGAATATTTTTTTTTCCATTTCTATTATGCTAATTGCTTTATTCTTCTGTTAGGATTCTTTCACTGAATAATACTTAAATTTTACAATTGAATTGAATGATTATCTTAAATGTTAGCACTGGTTTATAAAGCATAATTACTTTATAGCCTCAGAGACTAGAATATACTCATAGAATTGTTCATACAGAGATAACATATACTAGCCACATTTTAATTTCCTAATATAAATGTTTGTAATCAAAATACCTAGTGAATGGATCACTAACTCAATGTATTATGAACTGAATATTATATCTGGTTTTTCGTATAGATACTTACAGATTTGTAACCCTAAAGATCATTGGCATGAACAAACTTACCTCTTTTTTGTCACTTTAATGTAAATATTCTGTATTTTGTTTAGGATCTATTAGAAAGTGACCTGACATGTCTCATTGTTTTGAGGGCAGGGACTTCTTAGATTAATTAACCAATGGTAGTCTATTCATTGGTTTCTCGTTTCTACATTAGGAGTTGCTGCAATTGGTGGTGCATTCTCAGAACAGATTCTCAAAGATATGGCTGCCTTCAATGAACGGCCTATTATTTTTGCTTTGAGTAATCCAACTAGCAAAGCAGAATGTACTGCAGAGCAGTGCTATAAACTAACCAAGGTAAAGCAAAAGTATAACTTATTTCTACCCTCCCCTCCCCATCCCCCAGCTCCGCCAGTGCTGGTGCAGACTGATATTTTAATAACCTAATTCTTATTCCTTGTAGGGGAGCCAAGGATATCTAAGTTTCTTACCACTTAATCTTTAAAAATGAAACAGCCAAGATTGAAAGAAAAGTGAACAACTCAGAATGGATAAGAGCTATTTCCTTTTCTAGAATGTTGTTGTACAAATCCTCCTCTTTGGTAAAACAAAATAAACTTTGCAGTGTTTATTTGACAGTTTTCCTCAAGTGATTTGGAAGTATCTAAGATTGAAGTACAAAAGCTAAAAAGGAAAAAGTTTGATTCTAGATGCTTATGAAAATAACTCTCAACGAGCTATTTCTGAACATTGAAGCATACAGTATAAAACCACAGTTTTATTTTTGCTTTGCTAAATCCTGGGTTTGAATTGGACACCATGGATGGTACATTTGGGCGGCCATTTTGACATCCAGCCGGGTTGCGATAGGAGTCCTCAGAGCTTCAGTACTTCACTGTTTCTTAAAAAATAGCTTATTTTATACTATGTTTGTATTAATATATACTTGACTGATAGGTTGACAAGAGCTTTCTTCCTTTTAAAGACTTGAAAATGTCATTACCACAAAATAGTGGTTGAGTCATATATATCTAGCACATTTATTTTGGAAATAAATCCAAAATGAACTGGAGAAGGTAAACATGACATAAAGTTAAGTCACTGCACAAATTAGTACTTGATGGCCCTGCTTCTTTAATATTATAACCTTAAATGCTCAGTACTAGAATTATTGAAATTGTTGGCAAGGAGCTACTCTGTTGTTTATCTTTCTTATTTGAGATGGCATTCAGTCTCCTCAGTAATTTTAATTTTCAACCCATCTCTAGACTGGGGAATTTGCAGGGCATCACCTAGGTAGTCCTTAAGTCTTTACAAGGGAAAACAAATTCCTCTGGGCAATAAAATTTTAGCATGGTGCATTGCACATAGTAGGCATATAATAAATAAGTGTTTATGTAGTGATTTTGCCATATATCTCAGTAGGTGTGAAGAATTTGGAGACTCACCAATAATAGACACAAACACAATTAACCAAATTTATATAATTGTAGTTTTAAATCTGAATGTGTCTAATATAAAGGGTCTAAACTCTTTCTTATCCTCTTACTTAATGTTCTATGTTATTTTAAAAAAAGGAAATAAAATTGAAAGTCATTTTGAGGCTAAAAATTTAAATACTGGTTCAGCCAAAGGGCACAAGCAAAGACGAGTAGAGATTCAGGCACAGGTGAGGTGAGGTTAACCACAGGAAAGGTTAAAAATATAAAATACAGAAAGATTACTGAATCCTGAAAAACTATAATCCAACATAGTATAGAGAGATTTTCTTCCCCATATTAACAATCCACATACATAAGAGTGCTTAGCTGTCATTTATTGAATGTCGTTCCTCCCTAAAATGATGATTCTAAAAGAGTAGGCAGGCACTGAAGGCAGGAAGAGAGATAATGTTATAGGTCTTTTTCTCAGATACAGTTTTTTGAAGATATATAATCTATATATCAAGTAATAAGCTATATTAGAGTTTCTTTTAATAAAATATTTTATCTGCTAAACAGAGCAAAAGGTATCAGACTTGTCTGAAAACAGAACCTAATGTTCTCTAAAATGTAAGTGTTCTACAAACATCTAGATGAGAATTTGTTTTCTTTCTTATATATTTTCGCTACTTGGGAGTCAAGATGGCGGAGAAGTAGCAGGCTGAGACTACTTCAGGTAGCGGGAGATCAGCTAGATAGCTTATCTAAAGATTGCAAACACCTTTCTTATATGTTTTCATCTTTTTATACCCTAATGAAGGTTGAATCATACAACTTTACCTATATACAAAAGGTATATTATGGTCTTTGTTAAAAATGAATATTAAATTAATACTATTAACATTTTAATGGATTTAGACTCTAAATAGGGGTGAAAGTTACAGCCCAGCCTGTGATCATTTAGATGATGTCTTGGGGATTTGGTGCTGTGGACTTCTCAAATAGATTTCTTAGATTGTGATATTTTATTTGTCAAGGGTTTCCTATACCTTCTTTAGAAGCCTGACTGTTCTCAGCTATATTTCCACCCTCATCTTTGCAGATCAGTGTCTTCCTTTTTTTTGAGAGAGGGAGAGAGAGAATACGTGAGTGGTCGGGAAGGGGAGAGGGACAGAGAGAATCCCAAGCAGACTCCATACCCAGTGCAGGACCATCATGGGGTTCGATCTCGCAACCTTGAGATCATGACCTGAGCTGAAAGCAAGAGCTGGATGTTTAACTGACGGGGCCACCCAGATGCCCCTCTTCCTTTGTGATTAGCAGTATGGAATTGCAGCACCTGGAAAGCCCTAAGTCACTGCCATCTGGAGTGTGCGATACATGAGGTTTCTCCAAAACAGTGTGACAAAATATGCTGATTAGAGAAAATATGACAACTTTTGACAATTATTGATAATCTAACCTTCCTTTTATTTGCTTATTCCATTTGTGCCAAGGAGTTTGTTTCCTACATGATTTTCTATATAATTCTTTACAACATAGGAAAACATAAAATTTGTCCCAGTGATTATGTTGAAATGTGTAGATCCTTAAACTCTAACCTAAAATGTCATTCTTCCCAATGCTCTAATGTTAACCTATCAATTTTTTTTTATCCTCAGAAGTCTATAATCTGAAGCCCCTATAGAAATGGTTGCTAGGCTTACGAGTTGGACCCCTGCAGAGAAGAGAGTGGTGATCTCAGGGTATCCTGTGCTTTGCACACTTCTCTGAGGAGAGTGAGACAGAGAACAGAAATAATCATCCACTCCAGAACTTACTGCAAACATCATAAAAACTTGCCCGGACTTATTAGAGAGTCAATGAAAATTAGTCTTCTTTTAAGCACTCAGTACTTTAACTATGGAATAGTTCTGTTATGATACCTTCGTTTTAAAATATCACGCTTCTTTTTAAAGTTAGTTGTGTGTCTGTGTTGTAGGGGCGTGGGATCTTTGCCAGTGGCAGTCCTTTTGATCCAGTCACTCTTCCAAATGGATGGACCCTGTATCCTGGCCAAGGAAACAATTCCTATGTGTTTCCTGGAGTGGCTCTTGGTGTCGTGGCTTGTGGACTGAGACATATCACGGATAAGATTTTTCTCACAACGGCTGAGGTATTGTAAAATACTCTGTTCGGGGCGCCTGGGTGGCTCAGTGGGTTAAAGCCTCTGCCTCTGCCTTTGGCTGAGGTCATGATCCCAGGGTCCTGGGATTGAGCCCCGCATCGGGCTCTCTGCTCAGCGGGGAGCCTGCTTCCTCCTCTCTCTCTGCCTGCTTCTCTGCCTATTTGTGATCTCTGTTTATCAAATAAATAAATAAAATCTTAAAAAAAAATACTCTACGTTCACCAAGGCTGTATAACACCAGATGAGCTCAGTGTAGGCGGTTTAATGATTTCTTTATATAACTTCTCAGCTCCCTCCCTATAAGGTACAAAGTCAAAAGGGGAAGAAAATCTCTCCTAGTGAACAATAAAGGGTGGGTAGCTGGTTCATACTGAGTCACTAAATAGAAGGTAGAAAACTGTTCTGATCTCTTATGAGGAACCCTTTTTTGTCTTCACACTTCCAATCGAATTCTGTGACAGTAGTGACACAATTAAAAATATCGTTTCCACATCATAATGAAATGGTAAGTATTTGCATTTCTCCAAAACTTCCTCAATAACAACAGTTTGAAGGTTGAAAATGAAAGTCTTATTTGGCATAGTGAAAAAGTATTTATCACTGAGGTTCAGGGCAGAAAATAGAAACTAATATTTTAAGCAGCAAGAAAATTAAAACAGGGAATTAGTGTTTATTAAGTCATAAAAAGACAGATGTGTATTTGAGTGTGGACCTTCAGGAAAGATTCTCAGAATATCACACAGCAGACCCAATAGGGAATATTAAGCTACTCCTAGGAACTGAAGGATCTAAAATTTATCCTAGCTGCAAGATAACAAGTTCTCTTGCCACAGTTTCATAGATGTTGGCACAAAAGCCTTGAGTCAGAGACCAAAGACTTTATTACTTAAGGCACAAGAGGTACGATAACCTTCAGGTTCCCATCACTTCCCCTTACCCCCCAAGCTTCAGGGCGATGGTACAATGATCGGGCAAATATTTGTAAAATCATGCGCTTTTGATAATCAGAATGTTCATCTGGTTGATACCATGTTTGAACAGGATGCAATTCAGGAATGAGAAATTTGAATTTCCTCTAAAATTAAACCACGGTACAACATTATAACTAAACTGAATTAAATAAAAATTGATTAAAATTCAAGTATTTTCATCTTGCAAACATGCTGTTCTTTCTGTTTGAAGGGGAACTCTAGGAATATAGATAAAGAATCTTACGCTATTGATGTGATCCAAGGATTATAATCCCAGTGCTTAGCAATTGTCCTCATTCTGTGAGAACAGGTGTCTGAAGGCTATAATGTTCGGCTCCTTTCTTTCTCTTCACTGTGCTAAAAGCATGACAGCTGATGTCTCAGAGTTTATTTAACTCAAAAATCTTGTTAAACATAAGTAGATGTCTAATTACTCAGAAAGATTTTGAAAGCTGTTTATACATTAAAGAAAATGTAATTGTTGTTCTATGGAACTGTCACATCAAAGGGGGGAAAAGATCTTTTACTCATTGTAGCCTATGTTTGCTTTCCTAAATAACTCCAGCACCATCTAGTGACAAGGTTCATGAAAAAAAATTCTTTTATTTTCTATCCAGGCAAAGTAATAATTACTACATAAAAACGTTGAAGAAAAAAAAAAAGTAATGTCTATAGTTTTGTTCTTATCATAGATAGTGATCTCTCTGGCGAAATCATTTTGGCCTTTCCCCTGATTTTCTCTCAGGCTTCAACACAACATTCCTGATTTTCATACCACCTCATTGTTTGTATTCTTTCCTGTCCCTTTTAACTAAGAGCATTTTTCTATCATTCTTTTTTTTTTTTTTGTCCTTTTTTTGGGTCCTTTTTTCTTTCCTTTTTGTTATGCTTTCGGGGATCTCATCCATTCTTTTGTTTCAGTTATCTTAATTCTAAAAGTGGCCAAATCTATGTATCTCTGGTTTTATCTTTTCCCATGTCTCCAGTTACCTGATGGATATTTTCACAGAAATGACCTGCTCCTTAAACACAAGATGCATAAAACCTTCTCACCCTCTCTCACCCTCAATATTTGCATTGCTATTAGTAACACCCTTTTCTAAGGAGACACTAAAGCTTAGAAAAGCCTGACATTCTTCCATTCTACTCATCCCAAAGCTTCAAACACAGTGTGCATACATACACCTGTATAACTGCTCTATTATCCTGCCTGGAAAACTCTGAGAACTATTTTTCACCTATCAAAGCCTATCCTCTGCTTAGGTCCCATCTCACACCTGAATCCTTCTGTGACCACTGTGGCTCATCTTGATCTTTTTCCTTAGCCATGGCTGTCTTTATCAAACACTTTGACATTGAGTTTAATTTCTACTTGTATTATGCTCTTGAGAGCTTTATGTTTGAAACAGTTAAGTGTTGCCTTATAATTACATTGTAAATTATCTTCTTTAAAGACAGTCTTTCATATACTTCTTTCAAAACACCGTTAGCACCTAGCACAATGCTAAAGCACATACTAGAAACTTAGTAAATACTTACTGAATGGAGCTAAATAGAACTAGTTATATATCTTAGCAAGAAGAATAAATGCAACACCCCAGATGCTCACTGCTAGAGGGCCCAAAGAGGGAAGTCCTTGTCTAGATTATATTTTGTAGTTAACAAAGTTTACAAGTAGGAGATCTAGGTGAATCTTTTTGTTTGGCAACCCAAAATTTATTAATTTAGGATTATTGCTGGAATAGTAGTTGGGTCTCTTATGGAACTAGAAATTGCATGGATCAGTATCAATCCTGAAGATTTTCTGAGCATTTTTATTACACAAAGAGATTTCTGGCTTTCCTGGTACTCTGGCAGCCTTCTGGACTCTGATAAGAGCACTTAGTTCTCCACTGGGTTAGCCCTCCTGGCCCTGCGTTGTCTGTACAGCAGCCTGGGAACAGACTTTGCACCTCCTGTCCACACCTGAGATGCAAGCCTCTGTCTCCTACCCTCACACTACTCCTCCTGAGCCATCTGCTCAGCACTTGCCTCATCCCACCCCCTTCCTGATGTCTGTCCAGAGGACACTAGAGATGACCCCCATAGACAATAGCATCTGGAGGAAATGGATTCATTTCAGTCACTGGACAATTGAAAATCCATCTGCTGTAACATTGCCAAAATGAAACGAAGAGAAATCATTTGAAAGTGCACCCAGTGTGGTTAGAGACACACTAATGGCATATCAAGAGCCCCAAATAATTTTTGAGTGAATGAGCTAATAGGTGAGAGTGACACTAAGACTCTTGTAAACTCTCTCCTTTTCCCCAAGTCAGTCCCTTCCATTTTAGTGGTTTGGTTCCTAACAGTAGGCTTCCCATTGTCACCTGTTGCTGCTTGACTCTGTTCCACAGTTTCTTGGCTCCCTCTCTGTATGACAGGCATCCATGGAAAGCAAAGATTTACACTGATTCTTCTTGACTCAGCCATCTTCTAACTGTCCTCAATCTCTTTAAAATGATACTGTGTACCATTCTTGAGAAGAAACAATGTTGTTGGATACCAGCAATATGCCAATGGTGAGAGGAGCATTATATATATTATCTCCTAGAAATAATTTGCAGTTGGTTGGTTATATAACTTGCCTCCAAATCAAAAAGCTAATAAGCTAGCAGTATGTTGTAGAGCTAGATCTGACCCTAAAAGCTATTTTACTTTCCATTCTGCCATGCTGGTCGCCATCTGTTTTTTTTTAAAGTGAAATAGCTAATTTGATTGAACACTTACTTTCCCAGACAATGTGGTAAATTCTTTACTGGTGTTGATTTCATTTAATCCCCTGAATTAGGAATTATTACTAGTCTTATATCACCAAAGAAGAAACTAGGCTTAGAAAGGTTAATTAACTTGCCTGAATTCAATTCAAATTGCTAGAATTTGAATATGGACCTACTTCCCATCAGAGCCTGAGCTTTCAACCACTGTGCTAATCTATCCTTTCAAGATCGAGCTACTCATTTTTTTTCTCTTGCCGGTTAAATAACAATACTGGATCCCCACTCAAGTTTTTGCTTTAACATCGAAGAAATGCTACCTGATTTAAATCTGCTAAAAATCCTTTATAGAAAAACAAAAAGTAACAAGATTTTGTAAGCAGCCTATATTCAATGGGGAATCAACATAAAATGGTTTTATTTTGTCCCACTCGTTGTTTGGAATAATTCTTTATCAAGTCTTTCTCTTCTTTCTCTTAATGGCATCTCATTAACATTCAGTTCTGTTTCGATCCACTCATACTTTTAACGAGTATTAATTAAGTACCACTATGTGCTAGGCGTTATTCTGGGTGCTGGGGATACCTCAGTGAACAAGGAACAAGGATTAAACATCTGTCTGGTTCAGAATTTGTATCCAGTTCAGATATCGTGTCCTCTCTCTCCAGTACAAGAAGCCTGCAGCAGCATCTGGCAGAGGGTCCCCTTCGCTTTTACTGGCCCCCCACCCCAGCACCATGAGGGGCTTGGGGGAAAGAGTGTGGCCAGGCTCTGAAAAACCTTCTCCCCCTTCTCATCAAGGCCTATTCCCTCAAATGTATTGGAAACAGGAAAGAGGGGTGTGGAAGAGGGTAAACATGTCTTTTATTAACTCTCCACTTTGTTAGGCCATCAGGCCATTTGAGGCAGGGGCCAGCATCTCACTTTCTTGTGGGGCATGTATACAGGAGTTTAAAGGACACTCTGGGGCATGACCTGAGAGATTGGGCTCCAGCTCAGCCTCCCTCCCCTCCTTTGGCTTTCCCAGCCTGTTGGATTGTCCTCTGCAGTGGTCACTCAGCCGTGGAAGCACATGCCTTCCAGGGGTACAAGCTGCTCCCCAGCAAGCCCCCTCCCCGTTCTCTTCACCTCTACTTATATATGCATGTCTGTAACTGCTCAGGCTGAGTAGGGAACAGAATGCCAGTGCCTCCTTCTTGAAGTCACCTCAAGCCTTCAAGAGGAGACAGCATGCAGCCAAGAAGGGGGGGAAGCCACTGCATTAGCCACTAGGCCAGATCGTGGTTCAAGCGACTGTCCCTGATCCTCCCCATATCAGCATCTGGGAAGGGCTTGCTGTGTTTGTGGGGGTGGCATGATTCCACCCCCTCTTAGGTTCTGAGGGAGGTGACAGTCCCCACTGATTTGGTGGCTTCATTATAATGTCAAATACTTCATCCTCTTTGCACTAGAGCTGGGGGCCCTGATCACCAAATCTGGGGCAAAGAAAAAGTTTTACTCAACATCCTGTTTCAAAGGCAAGAAATAAATGAGTTAAACAGTGTCTTTATTATAAAATTCTTTATGATCAACTTGTGTCAATATAATTATACTTTTTAATATTTTGCATAATATGTGATGTTATATTGATCAAACAACAGTTATACTAGTAACTTCATCTTGCTCTCCTTCACCCCACACCCCTGCCTAAATATCCTTGCTCAGACGTCCTCAGTCACCCATAGGATTTCACCAGAACTCCTTAATTTGGCATTGACTGTGCTCCAATCCTTATTGTCTTTATGGACCCCTCTCTCCTGATCAGGACACACGGGGCTGACTGAGTCCAGCTCATATATCTCTGCCTTCCATCTGAATCTTCTTTCTGGAGGGCCCACCCCTTCCCTGTTGGTCTAACTCCTAGTTCTCCTTCAGTCCCATAGGCAAGCTCCCTCCAGTGTTCCTCTGGATTTCGTTTAACACTCACATTTCACCTTTAGCCTAGGCTTTCCTATCTCAACATTTTCTTTCTCCTTCACTAAATTGTAAGTTTCTCAAAGGCAGGAACTGCTTTTTTAACCTCTCTTGGTGTTATGCTCACTCATGTCTTTCATACTTGCTGATGGAATAAACAATTGGAGAAATAATTTCATGATTAAAATAATCTAAAACATATTAAGAAATACAGAAAAATAAGTGTGTGATTATTCAAAATGTTTCAAACGAGTAAGGTTTTCTCCTTCCTCTCTGCATCCTCAGGTCTATTAAATAATAGACCCACTGGTTTAGACTTGCCCATTGAAATACCTAATCAAAAATTTAGAGCTGGAGGGAACTTCAAGGTTGCTGAGTCTACCTCTGTGCCCTAGAAGCTTTAGCAAAGAACTTAGCATATAGAACTTTATTGTTGAACCATTTGAGAGCAACTTACAATATTACGTCCCTTTATCCCTAGATATTTGAGGACATTTTTTTTTTAATGTGATCTCTGCACCATCTTTCAATTTAGGAACTTTAACACTGATATAATATTATTATCTAATGCACAGTCCAGAATCAAATTTTGCCAATTATCCACAAAAAAAGGCCTTTATAGCCTCTAAACTAATCCTTTAATCTGCAAGAATTTTTCAGTCTTTCCTTTACGGTGCTGACATTTTGGAACATACAGGCCAGTTGTTTTTTACAATGTTCCTCATTTTGGGTTTATCTAATTGTTTCCTCATGATTGAATTCAAGGTATGCGGTTTTGTTAGGAGTACTAAATGCCTAATAATGGCATCCTTCTCAGTGCATCCCATCAGGAGGCATCTAATGTCAATCCCTCTCATTAAAAAATATATTTTATTGAGGTATAATTGACTTACAAAAAGCAATACATATTTAATTATACAACTTGATAAGTTTGGAGATAAATTATATATACCTGTGAAATGATCACCAAAATGTATGCCATAAATAATATATCCATCACCACTGAAAGCCATTCCCTATTCTCTTTATTATTATTTTGTGTGGTGTGTGTGTGTGAGAGAGAGAGAGAGAGAGAGAGAGAGCTTGAGAGAGGGAGATAAGAACACTTACTGCAAGATCTACTCTCTTAGCAAATGTTTAAGTATATGCCATTTGATTTAGAAAAAGGGAAAGGTCTGGGGATACCAAATGCTGAGGCCAGTTGGGTGATTTGGATAATTCAGAATCTGGGTAAATCGAAATCCTCTTTGAGTGTGACTCCAACATGGCTTTCTTAGCCTCCTGCTCTACCTCTTGTGCCAGAGTATAGGAAGAGAGGAAAAAATAGAACAAGACAAAATTGGAGAGCAAGACAAACCATAAGAGACTCTTAATCATAGGCAACAAACTGAGGGCTGCTGGAGGGGAGGGAGGTGGAGGGATGGAGTCACTGGATGATGGACATTAAGGAGGACACGTGATGTAATGAGCACTGGGTATGTTATTTAAGACTGATGAATCACTGAAGTCTACCTCTGAAACCAAGAATACATTATATGTTAATTAATTGAATTTAAAAGTAAATTAATTAATTAGTTAACTTAAAAAAGGAATATGTGAGCCAGGAGAAGCAGCATGATCAGCCTTGGCCCCCTTCCCTCTTGTACTGTCAGGGTCCTTTTCCCTCCCCTCTGTCATCCTTCTCTGCCTTCCTTGACCCTCTCCCCACGTTCCCCTACTATATGAGAAGGAAAAGCCTCCAGCACTTCATGGCACAGTAGAAAAGGAACTAGAGTAAGAGACAATGCAGAGTCCATTCCCATCTTTACTAATGATGTGATCCCACCAATCCCTAAGTCTCTCTGGAGTCAGCTTTACCCCTGACAAAGGGAGAGACGAAATTAGATGATCACATTAATGTGACCCACATCTATACATCACCACATGTGACCATTCATTTACTTACACTTAAGTAAAACATGTTTTGTCTTTCTTTTTTCGAAAGGTTATAGCCCAGGAAGTATCAGATAAACACTTGGAAGAAGGCCGGCTTTATCCTCCTTTGAACACCATTAGAGATGTTTCTCTGAAAATCGCAGCAAAGGTAAAACCACTCTTGTTCAGGTCTCATTATGTTTCCTTCCTTCTATTGCTAAATATGCATTTTTAGGTGCTTCCTTTGTTGGGTCCCCAAATAATGGGTCCATGGTTAAAGGAGCGAGACTGATACAAAGCGAAGGTCAAGCAAAACTTTATTTCGTGCCAAGCATCAAGAATCAAACCGACCGTCAAACAGACTGGTCGGGGCCACCCCTTACAGAGAGGGCGACCCCTCCCTGCTTTCCAGACTAACTTTTATAGAGCAAAGGCCATGTGGTTGGGTCTGGCCACGCACAGGTGGCCAGTGAAATTGTAACACACAGAGAAAGCTGCACAGTCATGCTAGGTCACACATAAGTGACCAATTGAATTACAATTTAGTCTAGTAGATATTTGAACTAGCCTATCACCTTGGTCAGAATTGGCGCCCAAAAGGCTCCCAAAGGGTGGGGCCCATACTCCTTGGTAACTAGGGAGACAGTATGCTCCCCGCCACTGATTGGATGTCTCCACCTGGCCGGACTCATCCGGGCATGTGGGCTGTTATCTCCACCTGACCTGACCCACCCTTGTATTTGGGCTTTGTTACCTGGGACTGGTTTCCCTGACTTGCTTTTAAGTAAGTTCCCCGGTTGGTGGTGGGGGGGGTCAGGATCCATTTACGTTTTACAGCATAAAACAACAAAATGGCTGTTCAACCGGGGTGGGGCCGCTCTGGCTGAATAGGCCCTTACACCTTGAGATTTACATTTGTATCAGCTTATTTTGTCAGAGAAATGAGACACAATGCTTCAGCAGAGTCTAGTAACTACACTTCATCCCTAGGAATTGACAAATTGGGCTGAATCATTAATTGCCCTATCATTCCTTTTCTCTTCCATAATCTAAATAAGTTAGTAGGGTTTCATTTCAGTTAGGTTTCCCCACTCATCTTTTTTTTTTTCTGCTTATTGTTTTCCCTATCACATTTGTGATAGAGTCCAAAATACTGCAGATGTGGTAGAGTAATATTTAGATCCCGAGTCCCCTGTCTTGTCGATGTAGCCTTTACTTACAGCATCTTCAAGATCACAACTGATAATACTGGGGAGGGCAGGGTCGGGTGGGGGACGCAAAACAATGAGGGCAAACAAAGCTTTTGGGCTGACAGATGAGCTGTTGGAACAATTAGCCAAGAAGAACCTAAACTCAGAGAAATTTTCTTTAATTGAGATGAGTGAGAAATTGACCTTTTTTTTTGCTGCATAAATGTGTTAGCCTACTAGGGTTGCCATAACAAAAGCCATAGACCCAATGGCTCAAACAAGAGTTTGAAGGCTAGAAATCTGGGATGGGGGATTGGAGGCTGGATTTTCTCGGAGGGCTCTCTCCTTGGCTTGTAGATGACTGCCTCCTCACTGTCCTCGTGCCGCCTTTTCTTTGTTACAAACATCCCTGGTTCTCTTGGTACGAGAGACATACCCTTCCTGTAAGATCACTACTCAGTTTGGGTCCGGGCCCACCGACCAGCTTCAATTTAATTTAATTACCTCTTCAAAGGCCCTATCTCCAAAGAGAATCACACTCTGGGGTACTGGGGATTAGTACAGATGAATTTTGGGTGGCAGAGGTCAGCCCGTAATGTTTATGTTTGTATGTTTTATGATTAAACTGGGGTTTCTCAACCTCAGCACTATGCACATATTGGCTGGATGACTCCGTTGTGGGGGTTATCCTGGATGTTATGGAATGTTTAGCACATCTGGCCTCTACCCACTAGATGCCAGCAGCCTCTGCCCCGTTGTGACAACCAAAAATGTCTCCAGACATTGCCAGGTGTCGCCTCAGGAGCAAAATTGCTTTTGGTTGAAAATCAAAACCATTAACAAATTTATCAAAGCAATACCATATTTAGGACTCCCATACCATTATTTGTCTCATTGACTGAGGGAGGGAGCATGCTTCAAAAACCACATAATAGGGGCGCCTGGGTGGCTCAGTGGGCTAAGCCTCTGCCGTCGGCTCAGGTCATGGTCTCAGGGTCCTGGGATCGAGCCCCACATCGGGCTCTCTGCTCAGCAGGGTGCCTGCTTCCCTTCCTCTCTCTCTCTCTGCCTGCCTCTCTGCCTACTTGTGATCTCTGTCTGTCAAATAACTAAATAAAATCTTTAAAAAAAAAAACACATAATACTTCAAACTATAGATGATCTGCTTGATTATGATTCCACAAAAGAGTATCCTATTTTCTACTATTTATATCTCCTAGTTTTTAAGGAGTTTGGATTGTTAATGTCCCGGACAACACATTATCATGTTAAGTTCAATTTGAAGATTTAAATGAGAAGGTGTTAGCTTATGATTGGAGTAGAAAGTACAAAAGCATCCTTTTCTGAGCCTCAGGGGGAGTTCAGAAAGACTCAGATATTATACCTAGAATAATGGGAAAATGCAGAGTGCAGAGACAGAAACTGGGAAGTCAAGACAAAGAATTAAGTCGAAGGAGGAAGTTAGGCTAAGGGGACCACAGGCTTGAGGTTTCAGGGCACATTCGTATACAATCCCTACAGTTCCAGCAAGTTGATGGAAATGACTGAAGCTTAAAGAGACACTAGATATAAAGGTGTGGGCAGTATTTCCGTATGGTTATGGGGGAAGGGCCAGGAGTGGTTGGGGCGACCAAGACAGCAAGTATAGACAGGCAAGAATCAAGAATAGAACATGGTTTGTCACTCTGTCCAGAAGACAGAGGCAAGAAGCCAGTGATGAGAAGTCAGGATTTTAACAGACTCAGAACGAAGCAGTGTGTCAGAAATTAGATAAGACACAGTGTCACGATGGTAGTGGAAATTACAATAGACACAGCTGTGGTAGTGAGAAACCCGGGTGAACTTTTAGTGCGTACGAAGTTACCAGAACCTTTTACAAAAGCGATTTCAGTAGCACAGAAGTTAAGTCTGGGGAGAATGAGGAAAACAGGAGAATCCAAGCTGCTCTTGCAGAGTCTGACATTGACAAGGAGAGAGTGAAGACCTCACTGAGAGAGGAGATCATGATACAGTGTGTCCTGGGAGCAGAAAGAGGAGGGAACACAGTCTATGTCAAGGAATGCAACAATGCGTTTCATCATAAACTCAATGCAGCCATTGCAAAAAGCACCAGAGGCCCCCCGGGGTAATGGAGATGTTCGGAAGCTGAGTGTGGTAACAGTTGCACAACTCTGCCCATTTAAAAATAATTTAATTGTGCACTTAAAATGTTTGGATTTTGTAGTCAGTGAATTATACCTCAAAAAGGCTGTTAAAAAGTAATAACAACACACTATAGATACTTTGGGAAAAAGAGAAGAAACTACCCAATACTCTATTTTTCTAACGTAAGCCGTTTTATTGTTTGTATTCAACTCAAATCTTTTTTCTTTTGTGTGACTTTCTTTGCTAATGTCGTCCTAATCATGGTGTATATATCTATTTAATGTTTTTCGCAAACATTTCTCCATAATATGGCACAGTCTTTGTAACCATAATTTTTCACAAATGCATAATTTTGCATTGAGAAGAGATACTTAATCATTCCAATAATCTTCAAAATCAGACTTATCCAAATAACTCTATTATACAAATAGCTCCCAGGGATTGCCTTTTTTTTTTTAAACAACTGGGGTGAATTAAAGACACGTATAGAGTGATTAATTTTGACAACAAGGAGAATCCATTCTTTTCAAAGGAAGGAAGAGTGAAGGTTTAACGATACAGAGGACATAGTTTGAGTTGTTCCAAGGGGAAATAGAGATTGTTTTCTCTGATTAGCTAGAATGTTCTCATTCCATTGGTAACAGTCAAATGCAGATTTGACAGAGGAAGGTTTGAAATTGCCTTGTGGGAACTAGGAGAGAAAGGGGTTTTGTTTGTTAAAGAAAGGAATAAAGGCATAATGTGCGACCACGTGGACCTAGGTAGTGTTAGGAAAAGTATGTCATCGTATGGTGCAGCCATGAACGAAGAAAGCCTGCAGTAAGGGTTCCCCAGACCCGGGACCAGAATGGCGAGTGTGACAGCAGGACAGGGAAAGATTCTGTGATCCTGGCGAGGAGCATTGAAACTGACCGCAGAGTCCTCTGCTTAGGTGAGCAGGGATGAATAAGGACATTTTGTAGGAGGCTGTGTTCAGCATAGGGATTGTTGAAACTGCACGTTGAGTTCAAACTAAGCAGGAATAAATACCTTTAGTTCAAGTTAATTATCATTCAGATCCTGTGGAGACTTTCACCACTGGGTTATCTGTGAAGACCCGTTATGATCACATTTGATACATCTCTTCTATGCTTGCTTTACATTGTTTATATCATATTTTCCTCCTGCTGTATGACTTAAAATTGCATTTTCATTTTAGACCTCCTTTGTGTATGTGTGCTTTTATTATAATCTAACTTAATTTTTTAAACAGACATGAATTTTTTGAAACAGATTAAAAACTGACATGTGCTCACCATCAACTCTGTTCATTAAAGTAATTAATATTCTTTTTTTATTCCTAGATTGTGAAAGATGCTTACCAAGAAAAGACAGCCACAGTTTATCCTGAACCCTCAAACAAGGAAGACTTTGTCCGCTCTCAGATGTATAATACTGATTATGACCAGATTCTACCTGATTGTTATTCTTGGCCTAAAGAGGCCCAGAAAATACAGACCAAACTTGACCAGTAGCATAATAACTGACATTTCTAATTCTGTTAATGAGATCTTAAAGTGTTTCATAATTTTTAAAGATTGGGATCTTTTATAATAACTCATTAGACTAAGAATTTTACTTTAACAATAAAAGTTCATGGAAGGATATTAATATACTTTAGGGTAAACATCACACTAGATAATTTTGCTTCATTTACTTTCTTGTTATTTATGGTTTCTCTCTTAATTATTTTGCCCAAGTTCTCTTTAAAAGCTATTGTACCTACTACTGAGAAACACACCATTTTTATATAGGGAACTAATGGAAAGACCAAAATAGTAATAAATTGATATACTCAACATTAAAATCCATAGTTCTTTTGTTGACTGTTTCATTAAAAATCTACTTTTTTTTTTAATAAAGAATAATGAATTTAGGCATAGGTGAACTTTTGCTAAAAACAGAAACAGCACTTACTTTGTTGCCTAGAGAAAAATAACTTCTCAGGTATTTTTATTCCAGTCCTAGATTACAATAGTTCTTTTAGCTCAACCGAACTCCAGCATTTCTAAGAAAGATCACTGTTGTTTACAATGCCTTGTGCAGCCTTAGATTTTAATATTCTTGCTCCATTGTTACATATTCTTATCACCTTGGTCCTCAGTCAGAAATCCCTTCTGAAAGCACCTTTCTTCTGCCGCTGACTGAATCCTGTCCCCTGCATTGTTGCTGCCAGGCACTGGCAGGTAGTGGTCCCCGTCCCGAGGTTGGTATTCTCAGTTCAGCATAGCCGTGGGAAGAGCTGAGTTGAGGGAGCAGATAATCTCCTTGAGAAAGGGCTGCCTGTGGAGCCGACCTCTTAGGGCAGAGAATTCCAGAGTCAGGAGTGAAAGCACGGTTCCCAGACAAGCTGGGTTCCCACATGAGTGAGCTGCCCTCGTGTTTCCTTGATTAGCTCAGGTAATGAGGAGCTCACTCTGAGTTTGGAGGAAACTTTGTAACCAGTTCCCCCAACATCAGAAATTTTTGGCATCAGGTATTGAGATATTCTAATTACTGTCAGTAGTTAATAGCCCAGAAATTAATATTAAACAAACGGAAACAATTTTAAATCCTTAAGCTCAGGTGCAATAACATTTTAGACCTCCTTTTTGCTATTTGCTATTTGCTATTTATTTGTAGAACTATTTGAAGGATTTTGTGTTTGAAGTAAAGCTTTTAAAAAGTGTAAGATGATATTCAAGGAAAAACTATAGTATAAAATGATTTCTTGAAGGTTGATGGTTACGCAGATTGTTTTAGGTGTGAATAGAAGGGGTGGGAGTATTTCTGAAAGTAACATTTAGTGAAGAGTTTCCTCAATATAGTTTGAAAAGATCCAGAATGCTGATTTCTTGTCTGTTTCATGTTGTCTTGTAGCTCTAACTAAATGTATTACTTATGCAAAAGATTGATTAAAGCATAGAAAAAGTGAATGAATAAAATTATTATTGTCTTTTTCCCTTAAAATATTGTTATATTTTAAAATGATAATGCTGCATCTCAGCATTATACCATGACAGGGTATACATTTTAAAACTATTCAAAAATTTCAGCATGACCTTCATTTAATGCATGTGTTGTCATACTTGCTGTATACTGCGATAAATGAACTACTTTCTTATTCTCAGAGAAAGATAATGAAATAAGCATTGGATGATTACTTACCAGGTTTCAAGTCTTCTGTATGGATTTACTGTATTTGCTGTATTTACTGTATTCTGTTTCCTGTAGTCCCTACAAGTTCCATACAAAGCAGGTATTTGAAGGAACCTACCAAGTCCACAGAGCTGATAAGTGAAGGAGGTGGGCTCTAAATCCATGTTTAATCCTGCTTCATAGTCTACTCTGTCTTCACTAGAGGGCAGTGTAGAGTAGTCTCGCCCAACAGAAAAAGGAAGTGAGCTACTTGTGTAATTTCTAGTGGCCTCATAAAAAGAAGCAGCAGGTAGAATCCATGTTATCATTTTATGTACACTGACATCTTCAGGATATCATTTCAATACATAACTGATATTAAAATATTAATGAAATATTTTACATTACCTTATACTAACCTCCAAAATCCAGATATTTTCATATACATCAAAGTCATGGAAGCTCACAGACCCCTTGATTATGTGAATTACAAAGGTAGCACAAAAATCAACAGATAAAAGGAATATAGGTTGTTTCATAAAAGAATTGGGAAGATTGGCCTCCCACATGGAGAAAATTAAAACTAGAACCCTACCTTGGGGCGCCTGGGTGGCTCAGTGGGTTAAGCCGCTGCCTTCGGCTCAGGTCATGATCCCAGGTCCTGGGTTCGAGCCCCACGTCGGGCTTTCTGCTCAGCAGGGAGCCTGCTTCCTCCTCTCTCTCTGCCTGCTTCTCTGCCTACTTGTGATTTCTCTCTGTCAAATAAATAAATAAAATCTTAAAAAAAAAAAAAACAAACTAGAACCCTACCTTACATCACATAAAAAGGGACACCTCAGATAGGTTAAAGAGCTAAATATAAATAGTAAAAATATAAAGTTAATAAAAATTAATGTAGCAAAATATCTTTGGGACCTCAAAAACAAAAACATGAAGCAAAAAATGGATGGAATGCATTATCCGAGGATGGGAAGGTTTAGGCTGGCAAATGGCTGCTGCCATCAAACAGTGTAAAGGGGGAAGAAATCCAGGACTGTGGGAAGAGGTGGTTGCTTCTACAGAGATGCTTTCATTAAGAAAGAGATAATACAGGCTCAAAGGCTTACAGCCTCAGTTCAAGGCATAGTATAAAAACTAGAAATTGCCTATGTTTTTACCAAAAGAATATTTTCTATCTTGCTAGCTGTAAGGCTGAAATAATTGATAACAAGATAATTCTTGATCCTCCTGGTTGCCAGATTCCACCAGGAATTGCATTCGCAGCTTTTACCAGGTCTTGTATTTAAGAATATTGATCAGAAACAGTAGGACCTTGATTTGGAATGGAGATTTGTGGGTAGGGGGATTTGGAAGACATGTGATACCCTAAGCTAGTGTAAACAATAACCCAGGTTTGAATACTGAAAGTCCTGTATCCCAGGAAACCCCTCACCCCCTAAGCAAACTGGAAGAATGGACATGTCCTCCCTTGCTCATCAAAGTGGGTGCTCTTCCTGTCTAAGGAGGTTGTTAACTGCCTTGCTTGGAAATCCTGTATTAAGCTCCCTCAGTTTACCTCCCACTCTTCCCACATTATTCTTCATTACCTCCATACACTAAACATCAGATTCCATAGAGGAGCTGTGGTGGATATAGTTAGAAAGGGAATCCCACCAAAAGAATTCTTGACTTTTTAAATTATATTGACAAAACCTGAGGGAAAATGTATGGGATACTGAAAATGTACTGAGAAAGGAGAAGTGCAATTTTGGATTGGTAGAATTGATAGGGGTGCACTTGCCACAGATTCTGGCTTCCATGTGTTGCCTTGAGCAGCTAAAAGTCGTTCTACTTGTTGGTTCAATTAGTTGACTGAAATGTAGACTTAATAGTGGCCCACATTAAATGAAATTGAGAATGCAGGCGTTCCTTGAAATACTGTAAAAGAATTCAAAGATTACAGTGATAGGAATGTTGGACCACTCCAACATTTGTCACACTCCACATTTGTCATGTGCAATCAAACCATTTTAATCCTGGTGATCTAAAGTCTCCCAAGAAGACCTGTCACTGACTCTCCTTTCACTAAAGACTTGAGAAATACAACGGTGATGGAAGTAGCAGCATCCATGAAAAGCATTTTCTTAAAAAATTGGGGTGTCATTATGTTAGTTTCACATATACAACATGATTAGATATTTGTGTATATAAATGCAAAATGATCACCACAATAAGTCCAGTTAACATCTATCACCAAAATTTTTTTCTTGTGATGAGAACTGTTAAGATTTACTCTCAGCAACTTTTATGCAATACAGCATTAACTATAGTCACCATGCTGTTCATAACATCCCCATTTATTTATTTAGATTCTACATCTAAGAATGATCGCACAGTGTCTTTCTCTGACTTATTTCACTGAGCATAATGCCCATAAGGTCCACCCATGTTATCACAAATGGCAAGATTTTACGTTTGTATGACTGAACTATTTATGTATACACACATATATACACAAAATTACATTTTCTTTATTCATTCATCTGCTATTAGACATGTAGGTTGTTTCCATATCTTAGCTATTAAAAATAATGTTGCAATGAACATGGACGTGCAGATGTCTTCTCAAATTAGCATTTTCATTTTCTTTGGATAAATACCCAAAAGTGGAATTGTAGATCATATGGTATTTCTATTTTTAATTTTTTGAGGAATCTCCATACTGTTTTCCATAGTGGTTGTACCAATTTGCATACCCAACAAGGATTCACAAGTGTACTCTTTTCTCCACATCCTCATCAACATTTATTTCTTTTCAATAATACCCATTTTATCAGGTGTGTCATGAGACTTCATTGTGGTTCTGATTTGCATTTCCTTGATGATTAATGATGTGGAGCATCTTTTCATGTGTCTGTTGACCATCTGTATATCTTCTTTGGAAAAATGTCTATTCAGATCCTCTATTTTTTTTTTTTTTTAAGATTTTATTTATTTGACAGAGAGACCAGAAGAGGCGGGAGGAGGGGGGAGCAGACTCCTTGCTGAGCAGAGAGCTCGATGCAGGCCTCCATCCCAGGACCCTGAGATCATGACCTGAGCACCGAAGGCAGAGGCTTTAACCCACTGGGCCATCCAGGCGCACTCAGATCCTCTATTTTTAAAGGATTTTTTTCCTATAGAATTGTATGAGTTCTTTATATATTTTGGATATTAACCTCATCAAATATGTGCTTTCCAAATATTTCCTGTCATTCAGTAAGTTGCCTTTTCCTTTTGTTGATGGTTTCTTTCTCTGTGTGGAAGTTTTTTAGTTTTGATGTAGTCTCAATTGTTTATTTTTACTTTTTTTGCCTTTGCTTTTGGTTTCAAATCAAAAAAATCATCACCAAAACTGACATCAATGTGCTTACTGCCTGTGCTTTCTTCCAGGAATTTTATGGTTTCAAGTTTTTCATTCAATTCTTTAATCCATTTTGAGTTGTTTTTTGTGAATGGTGTAAGGTAGTGGGTGAGTTTCATTCTTTTGCTTGTGGCTGTCCAGTTTTTCTAATAGTTATTGGAAGACTTTCCAATAATACAATACAATAATTCCAATAATACAACTTTCCCTGTTGTATTCTTGACTCCTTTGTTGTTAATTGACCATATATGTGTGGGCTTATTTCTGGGCTCTCTCTTTTGTGCCATTGATCTATATGTCTGTTTTTATGCCGGTGGCATACTATTTGATCATTATGGCTTTGTATGATATGGTTTGAAATCAGGGAGTGTGATGCTTACAGCTTTGTTCTTTTTTCTCAAGATTGCTTTGAATATTTGGGTTCTTTGGTGGTTCTGTGTAATTTTTAGGATTGTTTTTTGCATTTCTGTGAAAAATGCCTTTGGAATTTTGATAGGGATTGCACTGAACCTGTAGATTGCTTTGGGCAGCATGGACATTTTAACAATATTAATTCTTCCAGTCCATGAGCATGGAATACCTTTCACTTATTTTTGTTATCTTCAATTTCTTTCATTAATGTCTTATAGTTTTCAGTGTACAGATCTTTCATTACTTTGGTTAAATTTATTTCAAGGGTATTTTTAATGCAATTGTGCAATTTTTAAATGGTATTGTTTTCATAATTTTTCTTTATGATAGTTTGTCATTAGTGTGTGGAATGCAACAAATTTTGTATGTTGATTTTGTATCCTGCAACTTTACCGAATTCAT